CGCGTCTGCGTGCGCGTCTGCGTGCGTCATGTGCGTCTGCGTGCGTCTGCGTGCGTCTGCGTGCGTCTGTGCAGGTGCGTCTGTGTGCGTCTGTGTGCGTCTGTGTGCGTCTGTGTGCGTCTGTGTGCGTCCGTGTGCGTCTGTGTGCGTCCGTGTGCGTCTGTGTGCGTCTGTGTGCGTCTGTGTGTGTGTGTGTGTGTGTGTGTGTGTGTGTGTGTGTGTGTGTTCGACCCGAACTACGACAGGAACTTCATCCGTGTGTAAGGCATGTTGCTTGTTTAAGAGGGGATGATTGGCAAGGATGTACATGGGCACTTTCGTGCTGTGAAAACGCACCTGTGCAACACTTGTCTAGTCTTTTCTTGCCACCCTTCTTTCATCTTTGTATGTCTTTCCCAACTATGAGGTGCACCTTGGCTGCTTCAGCTTAGGTCTGAGGTATCAGGCGATCCCTGGCTACGCAAGCGAAGCAGCCTTCCGACACGCCAAACTTGTTCTGCCTTCGTTTGGCCGCAGTGCGGCATCTGGGACCAGGCAATTTCGGTGTCCCGAGTACGTGGGTAAGCTTGAACGTCAGCCAGTATAAGCAGGAGAATGAGTAAGCAAGTGCCAGTGAGAGAGTGACATGCATGTTTCATCATGTTGGGCTCTGCCTGGCTTGCTGGTTGGCTGCATGCATGCAGGCATGCATACAGGCATGTTTGGTTGGTTGGTTGGCTGGCTGGTTGAGTAGCGGTTGCACAGCATCCGGACATGCGGTATGGGTCGCCAGCGCACTGTCCCTGCTGAAATGCACATGTAGCCCAGGCACGTACTTCTGCGTGGTGTCTACGCTGAACTCGACACTGCCACAGGTGATCGAAGCCTTGCTGTTGGGCAGTAAAGCAGGACCAAGTAGGAACAGCTCTCCAATTCCTGCACTGCCCCACTACGCGCGCCTTGTCGAAAGTTTGTCCACCCTGCTCGGCATACAGAGGGGTCCGGTCCAGCACCAGGCCAACTACATCGGAGCCGCTGTTGCAGGTCTTCACGAAATCCTCACAAGCATGCAACCTACATTCACAACGCACACTCTGATGTGGCAGTGCTTGGACAACCCTCACAACCCCAAATATTAGCAGCCAAACATATTTTTCAATTTCTACCAAAGAAAAATACAATTTATCCCAAAGCCCTGTAAGGCTTTTGACTTTCTCTGCCTCTCCATTGTAAATTGCTTGGATCTTGGCCTTGTGCTCGCTGCCATCGCCCTGCGGGGGCTCGAGCCGGAGACGCAGTTTGGCAGGAGCGGTAGCAGTTCCATAGTCATGGGGCATCTGAAGTAAGTAGCAAAAGCAGTGACAGCGTCTTCAGACTATAGTACTGTAGTACTTAGTAGCAGCGCAGCTCCGAGTGGTCGTAGTACCCTCGCCCCCACTGGGCCAGCCCGAGGCCTCGGTGTTCCAATCGTACTTGAGTATATCATCGGTGGGCTTCAAGCTCATGCCCTTGATGAGCTTGTCTGTTTCATTGGCCTTCAGCTCCATGTCCTCAGAATCAAACGCCAACAGCACAAGCACCGCCCCCCGCAGGCAAACCCTCGGCCTTCGTCGTTCTAGCAGTTTTTCGCTTCCTGGACTCGTCCCGGAACTGCTCCATCTTCTTTTCAAAGCCGGGCATGTCCACTTCGACCTTCAGCTCTTCGCCCATCAACTGCGTCAGATCCACGGGGAAGCCATATGTCGTAAAGAGCAAGAAAGCATCTTCGCCTGTAATGGAGCCCTTCTTGGCAAAGGTCTTGAACTGCTTAATTCCTCGGTCCAGTGTTCTTCCGAATTGCGCTTCCTCTTCCTTGATAATCGCCCTCACATCTTCTGGATTTTGTCGCAGGGTCGGGAACGCATCGCCCAGTGTTTCGAGGACGGAGTCAACTAGCTGGTGGAAGAAGCCTGGCGGAGCATCCAGGATCTCGCGCCCAAATCGGACGGCACGTCGGAGAATACGCCGCAGAACATAGCCTCGACCTTCGTTCGAAGGAGTTGCACCGTCGGTCAGCGCAATTGTGAGAGTCCTGATGTGATCTGCAATGACACGGTAGGCCATGTCAACGTGATCCTTGTCCTCGTCGCCAACCTTTCCAGTGTAGTTCTTTGAAGTTGCAGTCTTCTCCTTGATGGCCTTGAAGATATGCATAAAGAGGTCTGTGTCATAGTTGCTTCGAACATCAAGAAGGACAGAGGTAACGCGCTCAAGGCCCATTCCTGTGTCAACGCTTTTCGCTGGCAGCTCGATGAGGCTTCCGCCCTCTTTCCGCTCGAATTGCATGAAGACGAGGTTCCAAATCTCAAGCACATCCGGGTCGTCCATGTTCACCATGCTGGCAGCATCTCGTCCACCAATCCTGTCATAGTGGATTTCGGAACAGGGCCCACAGGGTCCGGTGTCACCCATCTCCCAGAAGTTGTCCTTCATGTTGAAAGGCAGAATTCGCTCTGCCGGCAGGTATCGCAACCAGATCTTCTTTGCCTCCTCGTCAGAAGGCACGGACGGCTGCTTGGGGTCGCCGCCATAGTAGGTCGCATAAAGCCTGGTAGGATCAAGGTGGTAGACTTCTGTGAGGAGCTCCCAGGCCCATGTAATGGCCTCTTCCTTGAAGTAGTTGCCGAAAGACCAGTTGCCAAGCATCTCGAAGAAAGTGTGGTGGTAGACGTCCTTGCCTACGTCCTCCAAGTCGTTGTGCTTGCCGCCCGCTCGAATGCACTTCTGCGAGTTCGCCGCTCGCTTCAGCTTTGCAAAGGGATGGCTCGGATCAACTTGGCCCACGAAGATGGGCTTGAACTGATTCATGCCTGCAGCATATCATCTAGCACTACAGTGTTACAGACTACAGCTGCGAAAAGCGCTCTCGCCAACCCTGCCTGCGTTGATAAACAGAAGAGTTGGGTCGTTATGAGGAACGACCGGGGAGGAAGCGATGAAATCATGCTGTTTCGTCTTGAAGAAGTTCACGAAGGTGTCGCGGACTTCCTGCGAGAGCCACGTAGGCATGAGCGCTGCTCGCAAATACGGTATCATGGCGACATGTGACTGGCATGTGCCTGAGCTGTCGTGAACTCGCCACTGCCCGGGCCCTTGCCACCTGCAGGAAGCAGTGACTAGGCAAGGGTTTTTTCAATGTTGGCACAGCTACTCCTGTCGCACCTGTCTTCGGCTTGGCTGCTGAGGAGCCGTTTTGGCCGAACTCCTTCTCTTCCGGCGATGTTAAAATCGATGTCACGTTCGTCACCGGCTGGAGGCCAATCGACGACAGGTAGCCATGGTTTGATGCCATGGCTCCTTGTGCTCCTCAGCTGACGAGAAAGTTCAAGGACACAACAAAACTTGAGCCGCGCGGCTGCAGATGCTTGCGGCTTGCAGCATGTTGCAATGCATGCTGCTCCGGGACCCCAGACATTGCAAAGCTGGGCCAAGCATAAAGTATGCACAAGCTTGACTCTCCATCAGCCCACTTGTTTTCCCCCGTGATCTCATCTGCATTCGCCGAGAAAGGAGACCTGAAATGTGGTTGAGGCTCATAAACGAGAAAGCATGCGGAAGCTGTGGCGGCCTGTGGCAGAAGATGCCAGCTCCTGTCCCAGGTAGAGTGCACTGTCTCGTGGTCGTGCTTTGTCCACTGCGCTCAGCGCAGCCTCAGTTGCAGAGTGACCAGCCAAACCAGTAGCAAGAAAGCAGCGAGGAGCAAATTTCGCCGAGAAACGTGCAAGGTGACGCAATTCTGGCGCACTGCGCAATTCCTTTCTGTATGCGAAAGCAGGCAGCACCCGACTCCGACAACAAAGCCCGGGGGTAGCACTGCTTTTGGCTTCAATCACACTTGACTTAGGTCGGTCCAACATTTCCAGTACGACAGCAAAAGTCTCTAAAGGGACGGTGCGATTCTCCATGAACCCTGGACCCTCCTTTTTGTAAATGCCGGCCCAAGTAGACCTGCTTTGACATGGACCGCTTGGAGAGGTCAGGAAGATCTCAGGGTCAACACAGCCGGTCGAAAAAGACCGCTAGTAACCCGGGACAGGCAGATCGTTTGCTTCGTTCTTTTCAGCACTCACTCTCGGACAAGCCTAGGCGAGGTTCCTGGTACGCGACGACAGCACTTTGGCAATAGAGACGGCCCGTGTCACCATCTTCGTTCTTTTGATGTTTCTGAAACCAAGTGGCCTGTTGCAGATGCTCGTGCTATCTGCAAACACCCAAGACACACTTGCTCTCCCGCTCCATTTAGTCGGCACAATCCTTCTTCTCTGCCTGCTCCAGACTCTAGATATCTTCCGCCGTGTGGTATGGTGGCTTTCTGCCATACGGCTGGTCACATCTAGCTGTTGCATCGGGCCATGCGTTTGGCGAGCGAGCTTGGTGTTTGAGCCGAGGCTCTGCATAAAGGCCATCAAGGTGAGAACGGTCTGCCAGCATGTGGAAGCTTGGCACGCGTGCATAGCTGCCGTACCTTTGGCGACAGACACTGGGCAACTCTACAGCCGCATCGGGGATCGAGCACATCTTAACATCCGCTACGGGACAAATGAGAACATTCGGCGCAATGCGCTGCGCGATGGTGTGTGAAATTGATGTAGTGAGCTGCAGCGCGTTGGCCCAGCCTTGGATCGTGAAAGCAAGCACCGAAAGCAGTCTCCAGCTGCCACCGTTCTCCGAGCTCCCGACGGCCTGCAAGATCAGTTGCACTTACAGCAGCGCCGAAAGAGATGACGTCTGGTGCCCAGCTTTTGGAAGACATGCTGGCCTCGCATGGACAAATGAAACGAGGGTAAGAAGCTTCAGTGCCGTAACATGACGCATCAAACTTGACTCGAGCACTGAGACATTAGCTTTAGGCTTGGCTTTCCTCCAGCACACAGGGGATGGGCCGGGGGAACCGTTTGGCTGCATCAATGACATTATCGGCCAGCTCGCCACTACGACGTCGCTTGTGAGCTCAGTCTGTAAAGCAAGTCAAATTTGACGAAATACGCCATTCTCCCATTGAGTACTTTCCCGGAAATCCGATCATGCTTGAGCAAACTGCGCCACCACGCCGTTGAGATGCTTCGGGATAACAGCTCACTGTGCCGGTGTTGGAAAAACCGCAGACAATCAACAGACCTGCTTCTGGTAGCCGGCCAAAACCCATCCCCAACCATCGCCTTGCGCTAACCCGCAAGCACAATTCGGCACTGACCCATGTGCCGAAACATGAGAACCCGCACGTACCGTGCACCAAGGCTACAGCCACGAGACCCACCCCGCCCCACACCCGCGCCGGGGAGCAAATTATGCAAGGCGCCGAAGAATGCTTGGCACGGTTTGATACTTCTTTGTGCAGCGACAGCACTGCTTAAGCAATCATTGGTTTAAGAAATTGAGCCCCTCGTAGCCGTGCGACAAAAATCAGCAAAACAAAACACAAATTGAAAATAAGAAACTCGCTTGTTGTGATTCTGATTGGCTACTTTTGGAGTCTTTTCAAACTCAGATTTGGCTTGAGAAATCCAGGGTCAGTTGAATCCGGAAATGTTTTCCAATAAAAAGGGGCGCTTGAAAATTCAGATGTCGAGGCTCTCTCCGCGACAAAAGAACTGTTTCTTAAGCCGCGCTGTCGCTGCATATGTCAGCGTTCATGACCTAGGCACATACAAAGAATAAACAGGTGCTAGATGCAATCACTGGCGCAGGTGATGTTTGCGGAACATGCAAGAGTTCAGCCAAGTTGCAAACAGCCAACATGCCCAATTCCAGCATCCGCTCTTCTCCTGTGGCCCCTAAACTGCAAGGCCTAAAGCCGAAAAAGCCAAATTCTAAGAGCCTACATCCTAAACCCTCTCTCTCTCTCTGAACCCTCAAGCCCAACACTCTACTAAACCCTGTTTTTGCATCCAGGCCTCAATGGGCATTGCTGGGCCAGCAGGGCCGTTAACACACAGGGTGTCCGATGCGCAACAAAGTCAAAAAAGAACGCATCCCACAAACACGAAACAGAAAAAAGGAGCCTGCAGCACTTTTACACCCGAGCCCTTTTTTTGAACCCAGCTGGGAAGCGGCTTAAAGCCCCAACCCTGAACCACAAAACTGCGAACCCCAAAACCCTAAACCCCTGTTGGGCATCCTGGGCACTAATCGCCGAGTTGTAGCCGATAAGATCTTGCTGACAGGTGCTCGACTGCACCGCCCCCCTGTGCCAGACACTGCTGAACCACAGACTAGACTAGACATGGGTGTACTTCTAGCTCCCTATATGCACAAACGAAGAACGCATGTATTTCCTTATTACGTATGGCGATCTATTCTAACCGACCTACGAGACTTTGTATCTGAAGTCGTGTATGTACTGATGCGGACTGAGACGCAAACATTAGTAAAACCATAATACAGAACCAGCAACACCTGCAGACATAACATGGCATAGCCTGAAGACAACAAAACATGACACATCATGACATGACATCAAAAATATTTCACGATGCAGCACAACACAACACAACGCAACGCAACACAACACAGCGTAGTGCAATGTCATCATTGACCTGATCTGACATGGTGTGACCTGACGAAACCTGACACGACATAACTTAACATGACATGACATGGCGGAACAGAAGAACAGCTCAGAGCGGAACATGCCATACAAGACCAATACACTTGCACATTTTGCTCACCTATGTATCTGCCGATCTGCACGCACAAACACAGACACGCACGCAAACAGGCGCACGCACGCGCGTGTGCACAGACCCACGCAAAGGATAAAAGCACACACAGACTTTACAGTTAGCGTGTACATACTCCGAAACGAGACCAGGGCGCAGCATCTGCAGGGCCCAGTCCCAGCGTTGAGACCGCTCGCAGCTAAAAATGAAGGAATTCAACGAGACCATTGTGGCGCGGATGCCATGGCTCTGCAGCAAAACCTCGGCTGCTGGTCTTACTTGGACCTAAAAATGTATGTTCAAGGCTCGGAGAAACAATGTACCGACACAGCAATTCCGGTGAACGTGCCGTGGGCAGGCTCACAAGAGTGTTCTGCAGACGTGCATCCAGCGAGCAAGAATGCCCATGGACATTTTCCAACGTTGAACTTTCTCGCCTTGCATCAGAGTCCATGCAGCAGGCATTGCATCTCAAGTTCATTTCAGCCCATGTGCCAAGAGCCGCACATGCAGCCAGAAGCGCGTTGTGAGAGATAGTCGTCGGCTGGATTCGCAAGGTCGGAGCTCCAAACAGCAGAGATGACGCCCTGCAGGGTCGGGATACTTGCTCTAAAATGACAGCTCATAAATGCAGGCACACTAAGTCACTCAGTGGGCAGGAACGCAACACTCTCAGTGAGGATCCTCTCCCAGCGTGAAGCACGATCGCAAGCACTGAGGGCGGCATTGCAGGCAACCACAGAAGTACCTCCATGCTGTCTGCATAGGAGCGCAGTCGCCCACTGGTGGCTGCAAGCACCTGAAACGATTCCCTCTTGTAAAAACACAGATAAGCATCAGGCTCAATAGCAGATAATTAACGACAAGACAACCAGTATGGAAGAATGGAAGCCGAATCACTGATTACAGCGCAGAGAGAAACAATGTCAGATCTGATGCCACTAATCTGCATCTGGATCCACGTCCAAAGTGCTTGCTGCCAGATTCCTGACTTTTCCGTAGCAGTGATGGCTGAGCTGATCGTGATCAAGTGCTGCCGGATGCCCCGTCGTGCAGCCTGCATTTCAAATCATGGTTTCAGCTCCGCAGGTTCCCCACCCTCGTACATGGTTGGCCAGGTGTCCAAGCCTGCTGCAACAGCGACAGGCTCCCAACCCAGCGACCAGCACGTCGCAGTGCGTTGGCCATGCCACTCCGAGAGAAAGGGTCCAGCTCAGCCTGTGCTTGTATCGCTCAATCGCATGCAAGCAACGCAAGGGCAATCGCGAACCATTCAACGGATTAACTATGCCCGGGCACGCCCGCAGTTCGAGCCAGCTCGAGAATCGAGAAGACTCCCTCCCAATGACATTGCCTTTCTGAAGCACTGGCCATGCTGTTGAAAGACACGATGCCCTGGGTTTGCATGCCACCCAAACATGGACGCGAACAGGTCAGAGAGCACCAAACATGGGTACAAGCTATACAAGTAAAATCTAGGTGTCTGGTTTGAGTAGATTCGGCGACTCGAGCAACGACAGTGCCACAGGCCAGGTACAAATTGGACCTAAGACCAAGTCGCAGAGCTGCTCCATACTTAAGACATCTCACGACTACATGGAATTTCTCTTCGGTGGGCTCTTTGCTGCCGTCGCACTTTCGATCCCAAAGGCATTGAGGGCGATGTTGCTCTGGACCAGACTGGCTTCGAGCCTCTGCAACCTCACCTTGCAGGAAGCTCATTTTCAGGGCAGTTTGAAAAACCTAAGCGGCTCTGACGGAGACTCGGCCTCGTAGAGCAGTGCCAAACATGCTTTCCACTCCCGCGCTGTGCTGCAACTCTGCAGCAGGCCATGATGGGTAACTCCCGACCAGCTGGCCTCAGTGGCACAATGAGAATATATGTCGAAAACAAATTGACACTCGGAAGAGGTACAAACGAGATCCGAGTGCACGGCTGTCTTCTGGAGTACGGCTGCCACCCTCCAAGGAGAGCTCGAGATGGATGGCCTTTCTTGCCTGAAGACATTGACATCATGGAATGAAGCTGGAAGTGGCCAAGCCGAGCTTAGTAGAGAAACTAAAAGAAGGGCTACCAAGGGCGGGACTCTTACATCCGCCCTACCGTGTTCTTGCTGACCCTGGGTGCGTGCAGCACACTCGTGCCCTCGACACTGTTGTACTCTTGCTGTGACGAGACACTCTTCGAAGTGTCCAGCACTTGCGGCACCCAGTCGTGCGAGAACTGTGTCCCAAGAGCATCGACGTCCTGATGGCGCCCTCCGTGCCGTGTCCTGGTGACGGGGACGTGTAACGAGCTGAGCGCAGGTATGCACAAAATCCACGCGGGACTGCAAGCTGCATGTTGTCCACCTTGGCTGGAGCCTTCAGAGGCTCCACCCGGGCAGCTCCGCAACTTGCCATGAACGTCCATGCTATCGGGCAGCGTGCTCAGCAAAACGATCTCTGTCTCTCTTCCATGGAAAAGCACGGTTGCAAGCTTCGAAGCTTCGCTAGGGGACCAAGCTTCAGGGCTTGCAGCTCGCAGGTTTGTTCGATAGTCACGGCCGAAACATGATTGAAGTGCTTGGACTGCAAGTGACAGAGAGCCGAGCAAGCAAAATATCTCTGCCACTTCGGTTCACCCATGCTCAAAAAAGACTTCCCTGTCGCCCTGTCCTGCTTTTTCTGGGGCCCCTGCCCAATTATTTCCATAAGCTTGGACCGGCCGCTGCCTCGAAGGTGAAGTTGCGCGGACTCTCAAAACGCTCAGAGAGAACGGGCCCGTGGCAATACGCTGGAGAGAGCCGCCATCTCCGAACCTTGGCATGGCTGTGCTAAAGCTGCAGTAGTCACATGGACCCTGCACGGTAATTCCGAGAGGGCGGCTGCCGGCCCAGTTACCCTCGCGACCTGTGGTCTGCAAGTACCTGTGGACCACACTGCCTCTGACCTTGTCCAGCTGGCACACTAATGGCGGTCACTCGTCCGCATGTAGAAGGACATACTCACAGATCTGGTCGAGCGAGAAGGTCGAGACAACTTCTCGGACCTGGCATGCGGCTAGCGTTTCCCGAAGATGTGCACGCATGGCCCTGAGCCGACGACACGCGAGTAAAGTGCCTCGCACGGGCAACGGGAAGACAAGTCCGTGTCATGGCTGCGGTGCTTTCAGCAAAAATAGGCCCATGCATTCTAAGCGGTTGGAGCATCAGTTACGGCAAGCCCTTCGTGATGGGATTGAAGAACAGGGTACTGAGCCACGCAGGATGTGCAGCTGGCAAGTGCACCGTGTGTGAGCCACGGAGAGTGGCAAGATCCGACATTGATAAAGGTAAGCGATGTCAAGAGCATCCAGCCTCGCGATTCCACCTTGATGTGCAAAGGATATGCTCACGGGCTGCTTCCCACAACACGAATCTTCAGAATGCCTGTGGCCCCGACCCCGGTATGTCCGCTGCAAGCTCGGTCTTGTTACTTGAGATGAACTCCTCTGCCATGTCCTTCTTCGGGGCATCTTGAATGTGGTTCAATGGCTCGTCAACGTTCGTAGCAACTGGCCCTGAGCCGTCGGCAGTGAACAGCTCCCTGGTGCGCCACTCCACATCGGTGGACAATGGCTCGCCACGCGCACGTGCAGCTGCCAACTGCCAGTGGCTATTGGGAAGACGCACAAAACGAAGTGATTGATGTGAACAACTGGATGGAATCAGCGGAATTCACACAGTGACCACGAATCAGCACACATAGTTGCCTCTGCAATGAATTCGCTCTCATCCAGAATGGCCTTGCTGCTTGCAGGGCGCGGCTTCAACTGTCTGTGATTCAGGAGGCAGAGGCAGACGGACGTTCTGTTTGTTTCTTGGCTCGTTCTTGGTGGTGGCGCTAAGTCGTTGCAGGCCGTCGAAAGACTCGCAATGCTGCCTTGCCCCACTGTGAAGCGCGAACCGGCGATAGTCACATCACCCGCCAAAAAGTCACAGCATAAGTAAACCACTAGTGTGGCATCACAACACATCAAACACTCAATTGCCCAGCACAGACATACATTTGTGGCATCACGGCACACCAAAACCAGCCATTCCCCATATAGACGCTCGATTCCACATCCAACCGCTCGAGACAAACGAAAACGACCATAACATCACGACCATAACATCACAGCACAAAATCAGCCAGTCCCCATGTAGACGTTCGATCCCACAACCACCTGCTCGAGACACGAGCGGCATCATGGCATATCAAAACCAGCCATGCCGCATGCCTCGATTCACAAACACATCACAGCACATCACAACCAGCCATTCCGCATGTAGACGCTCGATCCCACAAGCAACCGCTCGAGAAGTCATGATCCGTATCATCACAGCACATCAAAAGCAGCCATTTCGCTCGATTCCACAGGCAAGCACTCGAGACACAGATCAGTGGCATCACAACACATCAGACGCAGCCTGTCCGCATGTAGACGCTCGAGCCCACATGGAACTGCGTGAAGTGCCGTTCCCCAGTGTGGACGCTCGTCGATGCGTAGTTCAACCCATCGATGCCGGATAAAGCGATCAATGGTAGCAAAGCACCAAAACCAAGTGTGACGCTGCACAAGAAAGGATGCCAAATGTCACCACAGTGGTGGGAGGGGTTGATAATAAGCAAGGTGACGCGGGATTGCTACGACTTTCGGTGGCGCGCAACGACTTAAGGCTAGCACAAGCTAGCGCCACGTAGCGGCGCTGTTGTTTTTGAGTCTTGTTCTCGTCGCCACGACAATGTTGATTGTATCTTTGATTGAAGCCAGGGCTTTCCCTAGTACTCCTATGATTGCGATTGTCACGGCTGTGGACGCTTGTCCTCCTGCTTATTTTCATGTCTTTGTTACTATGGATTTTGTCCGGCAAGTCTCACGCAAGCTTCAGCAGAGAAGCCATCCGACGGAGCAGCGAAGCTCTTTCTCGCGGGCCCATATCCTGTCAGAGTTGGCGGCTTTCGTGAGCGCAGGACCGCAAGCAAGGTGCTCCTCCCATCGATCCATCAGATTGTCACCCAATGCTGCTTCCTTGAGCAGTAAGAGCATTTGGAAGGCAGTTTATGACAGGCATGCTCAAGCGAAGACGGGCGCAAGCTGAGGGAAGTTCCCAAGCAGCAGACCTCAAGTTCAGAAGCCTTCTCTCAACTGACATCTTTTCATACTAGGACGTCTGACCTGGAAGCGACGTCCTTCACATCCTCGGCTCGTACTTGTAGAGCCATGGAGAGGAAGAGACAGTTGCCTCCAGCACCTCAGGCAAGCAAGCCCTACTTGCTGGTTCCTCTGGCAGAAACCCGGCAGAGAACGAACGAAATTTGCTGGCAACAGCATGAATACATGTGCCCAGCGACCCATGTCACGCGGACTCCACCCATAGCACCGCTGCAGGTTGCTGAGGATCTCCTCCGAAGTGGTGATACCACTATTTACTAGTGTGTCTCAAGCACATCACATGCGTCGCTGCATCACTGTTTGGGCGTGACGTTGTGGCAAGCTGGCCAGCGGATCTACTTCTCCAACCTCAACATCAAAACCGTTCCGATTGCCTAAAATGGTTTAAAGGGTTCCACACGGCACCGAAACGAACGGCTTGGTTTTGCTTAGGTTTAAAGATTAAACATTGTTGGGGATGTTGGAGTTTCCCAGGGACGAGTGTGTGTTCTAATTCGAGATGGGAGCACGACTCACCTAGCCCTTCCGCTTGCGACATTTCTTCTGCCGGGAGCAGTCCCTGTCATTCATGACCTTCGTTTGGCCGCCGTTCTCGACCTGCAAGGTGAGACAGTGCATGGCTGAATTTTCTTGCGCCCCTTCAAGAGTGCTAGCAATGTTAAACATAGCCGCCCCGCCTGCACGGCACGCAAACGGACCTCAGAAAGCTCGGATGCACGCCTCTTCACTGCCCTAGCTGACACCTGGATCTGGTATGCGGTATGCGCGTTCATCTCCAAGAAAGCTGGAACAACACGTTTCCAAGCGATTCGATCGCCGAGGGTCAGACAGATCGGTACCGCAAACAGGCTGGCACCTGGAAGGTCTAACATCGTTCGGACGAGGTGCCCGGGCAGGCATCATCCAAGGTCCGCGCTCTACGGCAAGCTCCTGCTGGATCAATCAAGAAGACGAGCACAACAGCCCGCTCACATGCAATGTGCAGCCCACCTGCAATCACAAGGCTGGCTGTGACGGCAGGCGCTCCCAATGCGACGTCCCACGTGCCGTGTCTGTCGGCCTCGATGCAATGCGGGCTTGCTCGGGTAGCACTGTCTTGGCGAAAAGAGTCATCCTTGCAGCATTGCATGGCATACCTGCACGTGCACGGCGTTTCCACGCCGCACAGGATGCAGAGACCTTGCAGCCCGTGTCCAAAGCCGGGTGGTCAAGCAAGCTGTGCAGAAACAGAAGCAGGCTTTGCACAGCACAGCTGACCGCACAGCTCGCCCATCTAAGTAGCCGGGCGATCGGGCTGGTGCAAAGCTTTGCAGGGAGACCTAGCTGCTCCGGCCAGCTGGAAGGTGCAGAGCGAAGCTGCAAACTGAGCACGGCACGCAGCCGGGAAGCAAGTGCATAAGGAGAGCTGACAGCTGGCTCTTAAAGCTACAGTACAATGTGCGGCTTGCTCCGTCTGTAACATTAAAAGGAGGATGCTTCAAGGCATGACTCAGGCTCGCGAATCGGCGAAATGGAGGAAATCATGGACGTGATTGAGTCTCAGCTGTCTTGTATGCTCCAAGTTCCAGTGCCCGTCGTCATCATGAGGCATGCGGATGGTGTCCTTGAACGTTCACCGTCCAACTGCAGAACCACCAGCAGGAAATCCCGTGTAAAGTGACCATGAAAGATGCGCGGTGCAATGTGCACAGCATTGCATGACGGACTCTTGCGAGACTGCTTTTGGGAAAGCTCGCATGCATGCTGTACATTTGGTACTGGTCAGGGTGACTGCTCACCTTCTTCTTCCTGAGTAGCCGCGAGCAGAGCACACAGGGAAGGATCCTTGAATACACTTAACAGATAATGATAGCGACATCTGCCTCATCTGAGGACTCGTAGCCACCAAGCAGGGATCCACCAGCTGGTGAGGAGGTTGGTGATGACGCTGCCCTAGGACGCTCAGAGCACTCACGACCAACCTTCGGCGCTTGCAACATGCTGTGACACTGTGGGCCACGCGCAGTGAGTGTCGGAGGCGCAGGCTCGGAGCCTACATCCGGCACGGTAGAGGCTCTTGGACAGATATGAGAAGAAGCAAGCTCCAGCAACATTTTCTCTCGGCAAAGCTCTGGCTTTCGCTCTGCCGGAGAACTGGCCATGGCGTCCTGTGGGGAGGCAGGTTGGGTCAATACTCCAAGGACACGCAGCAGCGCATGGCGCTTGGAGTTGGTCAAAGTTGTAACGGGAAAGTGGCCGGAGGTCAAGCGACCCGGAACGCCTGAAGACACGAACGTATTCAACCGCACAGTTCCTGCTCCGGGAATGTCAACATCGAAATTTAGCTAGGTCGCTGATCTGCTGGCACTGAACGCGTTCATCCGGTACAGTGTCCTTGAGCAAAGAGACTTTGGACCATGACCCTATGGAATGCACGACCATTTGATGGAACCTCAGGAGCCCTATGACGACCTCATGGGGAACCTGGGGGATGAGCATAAGCACAGGTCCACATCTTGTCGAAAGCATGAAACACTGCGGTACCACTTCTATCAAGGCTCCGTGTCAAGAACCAGCAGGAGGATTCCAGTTGCACTCGTTTCGAGCTGAGGGGTCACAGATCCACCCTGAAGCAGGGTCAAAAAGGCCGGCCAAGGCAGCTTTTCGAGCTGCCGTGTAGCCTTAGGGCCGAGACCCCAATAAGAACGTGCTGCTGTTGCTGAACAAAGCTTGCGAGCTTGCTATCTCATGCCATGTGTATGTCATGCACGTGTGTGGGCAAAACATCTTAGCTGCAGCCTTGCCGCGCAGTCAGCCAAAACCTTAGTCTTTCGCGAGTCTACTCAATTCGCCATTTGCACTTTCCTGGCTCCGCAGCCAAAGCTGCCTGGGGTGCGCACATTGCAGGCACTGTCGGCAAGGTCCACATGGTCGTTCCTCAGTAAGTTTACACAGTGTGCCTTGACCGGATACTTATGTTTTTGATATGTTGTATTCCGCCAGATTCCGGGGCGACTCCTGATGAACCTGCGGATTCACAGCAAACGCCAAATGCAAGCCAAAGAGTCACATCTTGCTCCGTCATGGATGTCTCTGATGCAGCTAGCAGAGGTATCCCAGCAGCAAGGATGCGGGGCCGTGCATGCTTGAGAACTAGCCGGCCTGAGCTGCCATCTCTTCCGCCACAGGTGAGACCATTGGTGTTCACACGATGGCATGCACAATCCCACTGGGCTCTGAGCACAGCGATGGACTGCCGAGAACCAGCCCGTCCTTGCGTCTTCGGCCCAGGTTTCTGGCTGGCTTTGGAACATGCGACCGTCCAAGGGGGAAAAGAAAAACTCGGTACAGACTGCTGCTCTCAGCCAGGATGCTTGAAAGCTCGGGTCTGTGCGAATAAGCTCTGCAGGAAAGCGAGACACTCCTCGAGCTTCTGCCTCAGACTCGTGCGTCCGGCTAAACTACTCATGTCCGCGTCCGGGCCGTCTATGATACTGATACGCCCTCCAGGCCTGCGAAGCATCCGACAACAGCCCAAACCAGTCCATGAACCATGATAGTCTGCTCGATGTTGCCATGGGCAGAAGTGGTGGAATTGGATTTGGCATTGCATCTGACTCCGAGCGCTTGCCATGCTTGGTGCTGCGTGACTCCGCCGACTGTTCCCCGTCGACCCGGGGTTGCGCACAATAGGTGGGCCGTGTGGCTGGACCCGCTGCCACCTTCTCGAACAGTGCGCAGAAGAATCCTCCGAAATCTCCATGGGTTGGATGGATCCGGACACACAGGCTCAAGGCACTTCGCACCTGCCGTTGCAAAGACACATGGAGCTCAAACTGCAACGACAGCTGATGCCGGATACTGAGCTGCGTTCTTACAAGTCTCGCGCCTGCGGGTCAGCCGGCGGAAACATTGTGGAAGCCAGGCCTCCGCCATTGCGGCACCAGAGCTCCGGCTCCACCTCCTCTGGGTGGCTGTAGCTGCGGTAGGACTCGTTGAAGTCAGGCGCAGGGACTCTCCACTCGGTCATGCCCGCAGCATGGCTCCAGGTCTCCAGCGGAAGCAGACGAACTTGCCCGGAGCCCAGCCTTCCGAAACTCTGAAACGTGGCAACCCTGGATGAAGCATGGCTCTGCAAGAGACCCATCAAAATCTGACGAGCCACTTCTCCAGAGCAGCTGCCACAACGGCCTCGTTCTCCACCGGCGACATGCTGCACGTCGAGTAGAGCAGTCGCCCCTGCGGCTTCAAAACTGTCAGCCCGCGCTTCAGGATGGCACTTTGCACCTGACCAAGATATTGGGCTCTCACTCTCACTCCCTCTCTCATAAGTTCGCTACGATTCCCCAGGAGTGCTTGAGAAGCAAAATCAAAGCACGCAGAGCGGCATAGTGCATTTGAAGCATGTAGCGAGCATGCCATCGCGGCCAGCTACCAGGGGCGCGACGCAAGCGGCCGTCACCTTCCCATGCGCAGGTCGGACACACGCACGGACAGAGGACCGAGACAGTTCCATAACTCTGCACCCTCTGTCCTTCAGCCACCCGCCTGAACAAGGAACATCACACAAGACACGGTCGAAGCGGATCTTGCGCGCTCCCCGTACCCGGCCGTCTGAATGATCATGTAGCGTTGGGAACTCAGCCAGCACTACAAAGACATGACTGCAGCATGGCCAAACAAATTCACATTATTACCAAAGCGCACACCGCGACCTAGCCACGTCCCGCGCATCTCCGCAGAGCCACAACAGTGGTGCCGAGTTGGGGTGCTGCTGCACGCGCCGGACAGCCGTGGTACAGCGCGCCCAGTTGTCGTCGTTAGCAACGAGAAGACCACAAGGCACGCCACCTTGCACAAGGGGGCATCAGAGTTTTGCTTGGAGCAACAAAGCGGCAAACGAGTGATCGTTGGGCTGGGCCTGGGGAGCGACCCATGTTCATCATGTCGAGAAGCTGCAAGGTTTTGGAGCCCGGCGCAGCACAAAGGTCAGCCACGATGTGGTGTTGCTCGACCTACACACACACACACACACGTGACTCACAAGCGCATCAAACTTCACATTGTTGCCTCTACTTTGAGGCCCTACCGAAAGAAAACGATGAGCACTAGAATACCCCGCATAGGAAGAAAAATGATGCTTGAGACGCTCCGGCACTTGCAGGAGCAAAACAGGAAGCATGCTTGCAGCTTCTTGTCTAGCCAGTGCCCCCGCATCCTGGCATGCTTCCAGAAAGCTCCAGCAGGTCTTTCCAGGGCCTTCAAGCGCGAAGCCGTCGAGTCCTTCTGCCTCGCTGAGGTTCAAAGCCCTGACGAGGCGAGCCTCGCTTTGCAAGCGCTGGAGGCAGAGCTGCGCAAGCGGCGACTTAGGGTCCGCGAGCCGCACGCAGTAGGGCAGAGTGGTCTGCATGAGCTTCTTGACCTGCGCGAAGTCGGGCAAGTCCTTGTAGTACATGTCCCAGGCTTCGGACCCATTCCGTGTTTCGGAATTCGGATGTACATCTAACGGCACATCATCCATCTCAGCTTGGGCAGCTTGATCTTCGTCTGCATAATGGCCAGCGCTGAAGACGTGTCGCATGAGTTGGTTTCTGGATGCGAATTCTTGGCCACATCGCTGACAAGTGCGATCCGCGACATCTGCAGTGGAAATCTGGTCGGAGTTCTGGCAAACTTGAAGCGATAGCTCGCCACCACGGTCACAACCAGCAGCGCGCCAGGCCTGTTTTCGCCGGGATCCGATGCCATCACGGATTTTTTGAAGGTGTGAACCAAAAATTTCTCAAGGCATGAATGAACTTAACTTAGATTGAGAATCCAAAGTAAGCAGCTCAGATGCTTTAGATAGAGCTGCATCATCACAAATGTGAGACTCGCCAGTCTTGTGACGCCACAAAAGCCGGATGCTCAAGGTGCCTTAGCATCTTGTCCACACAAGCAGGTCCAGAAACGTTACGAGCAGTGACTCAACCACTGCCTCAATCCAAGCCACTGCTGAAGCATTCCTCCGTAAGCTTAGGGAAGCCAGCAGCTACTTGGCACTGCAGATCTGCCAACACGGGCGAGGAGAGCTTGAAACGCTTCGGCATATCCAGGTAGTAGACACATACCGTGCCGACCGCGCACTCCGTGCCCACCGCCTGGCACAGCAGATCCGCGAGCCAACGATGTCAAACTCAGACTGTTCATGCAAGGACATTGCCGACTATTCTGATGTTCCGGTCCCCTAATTGGCCTGATCACTGCGATAGCCGCTTGAGAGCTGCAGATCCATTGACTGGGTTTAAAACGAAGACGGCAGGAAAGCGGCGCAAGAGGTCGGCGCAACCGGCTTCTGCGAACAAGATGAAGTTGCGCTGGTTGCAAGCGGCATGGCAAGCAGAGAGTGTTTTCGACCTAGTTGCCTGGAAGTCTCTGCTTCGTGCATGAGCACCCTGAGAGAAAAACAGTATGGACCAAAAACCCTAGTGTGCGTGGACGGTCGAGCTCTACGAAGCAAGTCTGAGCTTGTTCTGGCAAAACGGCCCACATGCTTCATGGAAGGCAGCGGCAACCGAAGCATTGGAAGAGGGCGAAAACTTGTACAACATACGGGCACCTTCTACTCGTGCTCGCTTGCTATCGGGCTCCTGACAGGCCGCGGCCCGGAGCCCTCTCACGAGTTCCAACATTCGCTGCAAGGAGTCGTGCATGCCGTGACCTTGCAAGCGCTCTTCAGGAAAATATGACGTCCTTCTTCTCGTCGAAGACATCTTCTTTGCTCTTTACTTTGACAAAGCTTGGCATCCGCTTCTTGGCCTGCACTTTGTCGGGTCAGCACGTGCACTTGTAGGAACGCAGCACATGCAGCCACCTGGGGGCCAACTTGCGGGCCGACCTCGGGCCCTGAGATCGTCTGCGCGACCTTCAAAGCCATCTCCAGATGTCATGGCTGGACTCAGGCTTTCAGGGGAAATCCTTCCCTGCTCGGAGATTTGGGGTCTGTGGGCGTCGACTCTCCATGCTCACTCATCGCAGCGAGCACTGCCATCTTCGCATTACTGCTCCATGCTTCACAGACAAATGATTTTTCAGCAATCCAGATGGCCAAAACCGTACATGCCAGCAAGCAAGCCGAAGATAAGAGAAAACACACTCTCAAGACAAGCTTAGCAAGAAGGTAGTACTGTAGAGCAGGGTACACAACCACACACAATTGAATCAGAGTGGTGCATGGAAGAGAATCTGCGTGATGTCGGTCCAAGTCCAAGTCCTTCTGTGCTTGTTTGGGAACCTTGCACCGGAGTATGCTCTGCTTTAGTTGGCCACATCCTGCTCACCGCAGGCAAGACAGCTACCATGCTCGCGGGCACAGACATTCATCAGAAGTGGTGCGGAACAGCAAGACGAGAACCATTGCAGTGCTGTATCTCTGAAACTGCAGCCAGACCTTGTCTGTCTTTGTCATCGCCTTGTCAATCCTTACGGTTTGACAACAACAACAATGCGGATATTCCTCACAACACAACCGCAGCTGCAAATGGCCTGTGATCAGAAGCAGCTCTGCGAAACTCGCTCACTTCCTGTCTGTGAAGCTAAACATGGCGAGCAGCTGCTTCATGCTGCATCGTCGCGAACCCCACACACACACACACCGGTCCCAAAACTGTCTAGTGGTTGATGGAAACGTGCTATGACTGCTGCTGCTGCTGCATGAAGCTCCTCTGTTCCTGGAGCCTGCTTGAGTCTGTGTAAGAGGTCTCGTTATGTGACACCCGGTGGAACAGAACTCAAGCTGTTGATTTCTGCTGGCAACCAGCCTCTACCACTTTACCAGACAAGTAACAAGTACTGGAGCCTGCAGTTCACGACCAGACTCGTGAATCATTGGACTTGAAGTGACTTGGTGGAACGGATTCTTGCCTTGGGTTAGCAGGGCTTGTGCACGAGCTTCTCGCGTACTTCACTGGCAATAATTAGTAGATGTGGCATCACCCTGAACTTCTGTCGCAGCATTAGATTTTTAGAGCTACTACGCTGACGGCGGGTTCAGCCGTTGAAATTGCAGTCTTGTCCCGTTCCTGCAAACCCATTGGACAGGGCGCTCACCACGTCTTCCCGTCCTGGTGCTTCTGGGCCTTCTCCAGCTGTCTTTCCTTCTCTTTCTGTGCCTCAGGACTCTCTGTGCCCTCGTCAAACGGAAACCAAAGCATGTTCTCCACTTTGTCAGAGCTCAAACTAATAGCTTCCCGGTTCCGCTAAAGGCCGCACTGAGCTGGCTTTGACCCTGGAAGGTTTCACAACTCCGTGAGAACTGGCATGTCCTCTTCGCTGTCTCGCCAGCTTGCAGTCCAGCAATTAGGTATGGCGACGGTTAGCACGATTCACCACTAGCCACCACTTCGGCATCAGTGATACATGTCTCGCTTGGTGCTCTGCCTGTTGAGTCCGATCGAACTCTTGCGGCGTGAAGGCTTGGAAGCCGAAGCTTTGCCGAGTCCTGGTTCCCCTCGTCACAAAACTCAAAATCTCTCCGGCAAGCCCTCGTCGCTGACGAGCGCAAGCATGGAGTTTCCCTAGCTATCCGAAACTCAAAAGCCCGTCTGGCTTGGTGCGCGGCTTGATATCCAAGATCTGCTCCTGCCACGCCTGGGCCCATGTAGGCTCCTGGTTTTCTCGCTCGGGCACACCCACAAACCTATGCACATGCACGCACAGCCGTTGTGAACATGCATTGGGGTCCTCCATCGAAAGACCTGACATCCTTGCCCAGAAGGCCTGGCTTAAATCACAGTAGACACAAGCTGCCAAGGTTGCATTGCAGAACGTAGGTCTCGTCTGACTTGCTGCCAAGCATCGATCCATAAAAAGGTTTTGATTCTTGGAGCCTGCAAACAAAACGGAGGTCAGGCAAACATAAACCCAAAGCCCACCGCCCGAAAACGAATTAAGCGGCCCCAAATCAGCAGATGCCAGTGACCTGAAGGAGTTCCCATCTTTGCAAAGACCTTGTACAGCAAATTGGTGCCAAGCTCGAAACATTCAATGGTAGATCGTGTACCTGTTCATCTCTTTACGCTAGCCTGTGGCTCTGACGATGGATGCGTGTGTTCGTGTGGGCTGAGTATCACCAGCTGCGTCGGGTGTAGACAGATTTGCTTGCGGTTCTACGGCTGTTGAATTTGCGAGTCTTTGAACCAAAGAGCACGAATGAAGCCCACTCAAAGCTTGCTTCTGCCTGAGTCCGGGAGCGACTAGGCAAATACTACCCAATGCATTCGCAACAGCAAGCTTGCAAGGTCATTACTGGTCACCTGCGGGCGTTTTAAGCGTGCAGAGGTTCCGCTTCTTCGGGCAAGAAGTCCGGATATTCCGCATGTCGTGGAGGACACCAGCCTCTCCCACAGTTTTGCATCATCTTCTGGGTCTTGTACTCCTGAAGCTGGGCTTTGGGCACAGCTTAACAAGAGTCCGTGCCTTGCCACAGAAGGACAATCCCCTGCCTTGAACACTCCATAGTCGCGGTCGTGGGTGTATGACAAACAAACCTTATCGGGAGGCCCACTCTCTTGGCGATACCCCGAGGATTGGAGCTGCAGGTTGTATCGCGACCACTCGCGAGATCTCCGGTACTCAATGTTGCCTTGGCACTTGGATTCAAAACACTTGCCTTTTTTGACTGGCAAAGAAAGTGTAAAGAGGACAAAAATCAGAACCTCGCGTTCCAGCTTGGCAAGGCTCGAGTCCAAACTATCAAATTGAGCCGCTCGCCTTCGGTAATGTCATCAGCGCCGTGACGGCGATGGCCACGATGCACAACGCAATGCCCAAGCTTGTGCTGGTACAAAAGGCTTGCGTGTCGGTGATTAGCTGCACCCTGGTTGCCGCAAAACTGAAGCCCAGCACCTTTAAAATCCTTGCCGAGGCAGATATTGAAGGTCACGTCGCTGTCATCGGTGTGCATGTCCAAGCCCAGATCTTCGCCGACCTTGTACCGCACGACAAAGGTGTGGTGCCGGTCAAAGTGAGACCCAACGCCAGGGAAAAGGTGATGTGCAACCAGCTGCAAGAAGCTGTGGACGAGCCTGGGGGAGTTCTGGGCTGCTGTGGATCGTAAGAAAAACAGCACAGTCACAATGCTGACAAAACTATGTCGTGGGGCCCGCGCCTGTCCAGAGCTGGCTCCATGCCAATCTCGTTCACCACAACTCCATAGTTGTTCATGCTGTTTGGGCGACGGGCAGGCAACCCGCTGGCATGAAAGCTGTCTAGCTCCTCAACGAAATCCTTGCAAAAGCCTTCGGCGAAGATTGGAAATGAATAAACCTCCGACGCCTCCTCGGTCAGTATAGAAGACCATGCCTCCGCTGTGTTCGCTGCATATGCCGTCCAGAATCGTGGGTCGAACATGTCCTTGGAGAAGGCCTCCTCCTCGTTGAAGAGGAACTGATGACAACGAAGACTCCCATACTCAGATATCGTCTTCAAGCACTTAGCGTTCGCCTCCGCGGCATCCTGAATATCATCCATGTCAGCAATTTCAGACAACTGCTCAGGATGCCCCAACAGAAGCAGGACGGCTCGCATCGTGCGGCACAGTCTTGAAGCGCTGTCGTCCGCTTTGTCTTCCTCCAGCTTCGAAAGAGCTTCAGCAAAGGCTGCCTCGTCCACGACCCCATCCTGCTTCACAAGCGCATGATGCAGCCAGCTCTGGATACGAACTTCCGGAGGCGTTAGCGGATAAGCGCTGTTCACCTTCACCTGAAGGCGCAGCCTCCTTTCCTGGGGCGAGTCTGCCGGCCCCTTCGGCCCCTGGATGACCACTCTCACAAGCCATGGTCCAGTGTCGCCTCTGGGGACGAAGAGCTCCGTTCCATCCTTCGGAGGGCACAGCTTGGCACATCAAAGCAGCCTTTCTTTGACGCAGATACCATCTACACAACCTTACACGGACTCAGTCACCTTGCAGCTGCGTACTTCTAAAGTCCAGATTATGAGCTTCTTGCCTCTGCGACGCCCATGAGCTCCGGTTCTGAAACGTGGATTACCCCCGGCTCGTCTCTAAGCCTGATAATCTCCTTGTGCAGGACTTCCAGGGTTCCTGAGACATGCTATGCAGCTATGCCGCTTGCTTCATCGAACACTTGCTTTGTAACTGTTCTGAAGAATCAACGCCAAGGGCCCCGACGCTCGGGGTTGCTGTCCTCCTGACACCATGAGTCAGTTGATACCTAGCTGCAGCTTCGAACTTACAAGATGCTGGCCTTGCAGGTACTTCCCTGCCTCCGGTATGGAGAATGTGCTGGGAAGCTCAGCTCGGATCACTCGTGGAAAATCAGCTGGAGCATAGATCAATGCACCACCAAAGGCAAGATCCAACTTGACCTCAAGGGAATTCGATGCGCACGAGCTGATTCGCGCTGCCTGGGTGGCATCGTGTCCAAGTTTCCTCGCAGCCGAGGCTGATGCCTGGTAAGGTGCGGTCTTCCCTGGTGGCCAATGATCCTGTGCAAACATGTTGGGGTGGCGGGGGTGGCGGGGGGGCGGGGGGGGGAGCAGATCACACGTAAACCAGATCCGCAGATTGTTCCCTGCTCCTATTATCCAGAAGGTGCGTTTTGGCTCTAGATCTTCAGGCAGTAGCACGTTTGCACGGATGGGTGGCATTTCGACTTTTCATGGCTTTCAAGTTTCAAGCCAGGGGTCATGATAGCGCATAGGTGACCTCTTCACAAGTCGTCGATGCGCTTCACATCCCAAATCCAATACTCCAACCAGAATGCTGGAACCTTTTGTCTTGAACTAGCGACAAAGCCCTTCCAGCCTCGCGGTATTGCGTAGCCACGATCTCGCCACTCGCCCAACCTTCGCGCCCCATGTTGCAGGAGACGCGAGCACCCACAGCAAAGCGCAAGCTGCCACCATCGCTTGCCACGGCCGGCTCCATCTGCTACAGGAAGCGGGGGCTTCAGAAGATAGGGGAACCTACAATAGAATGATGCATACCAGGATCCTTAGTAGAAGAGCCCCCGAATGAGGTGCCCTTGTTTTCTTTAACTCCTACTGGCATATCCTTGCCAACCGGGTGGGCTGGCAGCACAAGCGAATGTCATCTTACTCTCGTGTCGCATCCTTGACAAGCCACAACCCTGAAAGGCGGTTTTCGGGTCTGTTTACACTATACTTCTAATAAGGAACCTTAAGGACATGCACTGGTAACTTTGCGGGTCAGGGTCGAATGTTCGATCTGATTGAGGCATGATTCTCAACCGATCTCGATCGAGGTCCTGGCTCTACAGTTACTCAATCAGACGTGCAAACAATCCGAGCACGACAGACCCGGGCCCGAGACTGTCTAGGTCTGTGGAAAAGCTTCGCAGCGAGCACATCTTTCATCTTTGCCAACTCGTGAGAAAAATGTCCTAAAGCCTCAAGGCCACACACCCTCATGCTACTCTTGCTGCATCTGCAACTCAAACTCAGTCGAGCTCGGAGGTGACCGTTGCGCTGATGACACTGGAGACGACGCTGAAGGCTGCTAGTGCGCAAAGAACACCGACTCCCAGCACCTCGGCATGAAGAGCAGGCCCAGAGCAACGCCGGATGCCTGCAAGGCCTACAAGTTATCGTGAGGCCCCCACAACTGAAGGCACGCCCTCTCCGTCTGCTGCTGATGCCGCCGCTGGGGTCAAGAGAATCGCAGGCACTGTGGCGCTGGCCGCCTCGATGGCAGTGCCACGGAGCTGGCTTGGTGTCTCAGGAGCCGGAGCAGGAGCACCGACGAAGGCAAGGCTGCGCAGGGCGGTGCAAAAAGCCAGGACGACACAGACGGTGGCAAGCTTGGTTCGGGCCATCACGTCACTCTCACCAAAGACGAGGTAGCAACAATGCCGAGGCTCTTTCTTCCCTGCTGGCTCAGAGCCAAAAACACAAGAAAGGTACAGAATGCTGCAGAATTCGAAGCAGGTGCTCGATGCGCGTTGCCAAGCCACTGAAGCCAAATCCTGTTTTGCTTCTGGTAAACGCACAACCCTTCTGCACAACTTATGCACGGCAGTTTCTAGCTCGTGCTGATGCGATTGCAAATCGCAGTCGCAATCAAATAGCCACATAAAGGCCAGCAACCGTCGGCTCAGATGCCCCAAGTTGGCCCTAGGCCGCGGGCCGTCTTAGGGCCGGGGGACTGCCCGAAGACAGACGGACATTCTGGAAAACCGGCCCCATTCTGGAAAACCGGCCCCACTTTTCACACCTTCAGGAAAGCACAGGCACAGACAGACAAGAGCTTTGTCGCAGATTTCACAGCTTGGAAGCTCCGAAAGTCCTTGTTGAGAAGTTCGACGAATCTCCCCTTGTCCCAGACATCCGGCATTTCCTTTGCCTTCCCGAGGTTTCTGTGGGCAGTTCGCCAGAACGGAGCTGGGAGACGTCCGGCCTTCAGCATCCCAATACGAGCGAGGCTTGCTTTGTCCAGGCTCGTGGGATCCTTCCGGCAGAATCCGCAGCCGTCCCACAGCCAATAGTCTAGTGGGCAAAGGCGGGTACGTTCTGAGTGCTGCACTGCACCCTCCAGGGCTTTGTACGCCAGTTCGACTTCCTCGCCGTGCAAGGGCTCGGTTCAGTGGAGTGTAATGTACAATGCGGCGACAATAAACTTACAAACTCGCCAAGGTCGACTGCCGTTGAACCTCCTTGTTGGCGGCATTCTTGAGGATGTTTATCGGAACATCCCATGCCTGAAGGATCCACAGATGCGGTCCAGAGCTCGCACTCCCAGTACTTCGCAGCAACCCCGCCTCTGCACCCTCTTTGCTGCCACTGATGCCCAAGATCGCTTGACAACCGTCTGAATTTTCCACCTTGCAAACATCTGCGAGCTTGGAGCATTCTTGCGCAGTTCATCTTGTGTGGATCTCCCGCACCTCCCTCTTGGCACCCTTCTCCAGAAGCAGTTTGGAAATGAAATAGAAGTCATACCTCCCAGATCTGCGCAAGGCACGAGATCGCTTCTGAACAGCTCACACTTGAGGGACGTGCTCAACGCTCATGTGGAGAGGCGTCTGCCCCTTGAAATTTTGCGCCGTAACCTGGACGTGGAAAATTTTTAGTTGCCGATTGGGAAAACACTGAAGGCAGAGACTGGGAGCTGGGCATCTGCTTTCCAAGCAATCAAGAGCTGTGTCAACTCTCGGTGGCCTGGGTCCAGAGCGGAAGCCCATGAAACTGGGGACGCCCTAGAGCGGAGGATTCTGAAAGCCGGGCTTCCGACCGTTCTGCACTGCGATGTGTAAAGCTTGATTGCCGGTCTTTGGGTCCGCTGCTCCTTAAATAAGATCTGCAAACAAGAAACAAGAATCGTGGCAGTACTGCTCATAGGGAGGGCGATAATAATACAAGTAGATCGTCGTCGTCGTTGTAGTCGTCGTC